AGCTGACAGAAACTGCACAATAACTTGTCACTAGAATTTTGTAAAAAGATAAAGCTCTAATGTCATAGCCAAAGAGCAAGGCCAGACCACTTAAGCTCAAATCTGCCTCAAAGAGTAATGGGTTGTGACAGGATTTATAGAGAAGAAAGGAAAGAAGTTGCATATTGAGTGTGTGATATGAAGGGGGACTTGCTTCTTTGGGGGAAGGGTATTGTAGGGGTGTGGATTTTGAATCTATTATATCATGCACCTGAGAGCCTAGCTTTTTATCCTCATGTCTATTCTTGGAAGACTGGCTCCTGATCCTAAGGCTCATTAGCTTTTCCTGGAAGACAGCATAAGAACTTTGCTACTGAAAGAAGTAATGCACAAGGATGTTTAGAGCTATCACAATTCATAGCTAATGGCTTATATGCCTTCACATTGTTTGTGAAACAAATCTACAATTTATAATATGGCTTAAATCTTTCTTGAATATGTCCAGCCTTAGTAATGTTGTTTTAAATACTAATGCTATAAACCACATGTTGGTTTTGTATTGCCGAACTCTGTATCAGAGCAGAATTCTAGATTGGCAGGTGAAGGATATAGGTAAATTAGTGATATGATACACAAGTTCTCTTATCTGTGTTACTGTTTACCCTCAGCTCTATGAGTGCAGGTTCCTTTCTAGAATTCACAATCAGAATATGTCCATATTTTTTAATTTTTGGCAATTGGACTAGTGAGAAAAAATGTTAGTTTTAATTTTCATTTCTATAATTATAAATGAAGTTAGGGTTTTATTTTTGCCTGTGACAGTGAACAGTCTGTTCGTGTACTTTTCCAATTTTCAGAAAGCTATTCATCTCTTTTAATCTTTAAAAACTGTATTTTAGGAATAGATACTGCTTTATAAATGTCAAACAAATCGACTCTTTGTCATTTAATATTTTCATATTTTAGCCTGAAATAATTTTATTTGTTATGTTAAGTATCTGTATTTACTTACATTGTACTAAATGCATCCATATGAATTTTCCTATGTTTTATGTATAGTCTGAAGAACCTTCCACATTTTGGATTATCAAGATATTTATTTGTAATTTCTCCTCATGTTTATAGGATTTTTCATATATTCTGATTTATTTCAAGCAATCATACTATTTACTCAGTGGATTAAACAACCAACTGCATTGAACTCTTAATGTTCATTATGTTTTAACAACATTTTTTAAAATCACAGCTTTCCCCAAATGCTTTAGGAAATGCTGTATGATAGATAATTTTTTAATATATACTTGGGTCAACCCAGAACCTTTTCTCTGTTTCTCTGGTATATGAATTCTTCTACTAGAAGGTTTTAAGTCAATACAAGGCTTGCTTCTCTCTTTCTATAAGTTCTTCTACCAGAATGTTTTTCAGGGTATACATTAGGCTTTAAAGTAGTAGAGTAGGCCGCGCATTGGTGGCGCACACCTTTAATCCCAGCACTTGGGAGGCAGAGGGAGGCAGATCTCTGTAAATTCAAGGCCAGTCTGGTCTCCAGAGAAAGTGCCAGGATAGGCTCCAAAGCTACACAGTGAAACCCTGTCTCAAAAAAATAAATAAATAAATAAATAAATAAATAAATAAAATAAAATAATAGAGTAACATTCATTATTATCCTTCTCAAAGGTTTTCCTGGTTTTTTTTTCCATGTGAATTTCAAAATCTGCTTAATATAAGAAATAAACATGGAAATAAAATAATAGAGTAACATTCATTATTATCCTTCTCAAAGGTTTTCCTGGTTTTTTTTTCCATGTGAATTTCAAAATCTGCTTAATATAAGAAATAAACATGGAATATTTTCCTTTGAACTAAGCCAAAATTATAAATTAACTAATATGGGGATTCTATTTAGAATGTTAGACTAAGAATAGTAGTACAATCCTATAAACCTAGCAAGCAGGAATCCAAAACTAGAGAAAGGCAAGTTCAAAGCCATCATAATACATAATATATACATAACATAATACATAACATCAATATATATAAGATCTTGTCTCAAATAACAAAAAAAAAGTCCCACGACAAAAATAAGATATTAAAGGCAGGGTATCATGTCTCACATTGTAAATCATGGTAAGAAGACCCAAAGTTTAAAGTCTAGGTTATACCAGGGGAACAACTCACAAGAGAACTTGGCTCAAAATCTAGAATGTGTTTTGAAATCGTCAAGTGTATTTTCATTTGGGTCAGTATTATTTTCAGTTCTTCCCAGATTGATGTTATGTATATCAAATTAAGTTTATTTTTTCCTATTATACAAAGAGTCTCTGTAGTTGTAAAATCTTCTGTGTAATGTTTATGTATCAATACACTATGAATTTATATATACTAATTTAAGAATTTCTGTATACCAATTTAGCATCTTGCTTCCTGTCATTCAGTGCTTATGATGGTTTGTTCTTAGTGTCTCTCTTGAATCCTAACAAAGATTTCTTACTTTTTCCTTCCAGTGCTTCTCTGTCTGTTTTTCTTAATTATATGATGTTAATAATTTCCTCCAATCTGATCAATCTGAGGACACATAATGGGAGGGAGACTAAAAATGCCTGTGGGCCCTTTATTTAAAATAGATTCAGACTTCAGACTGTATCTCTGTCTCTGTCTCTCTCTGTCTCTCTCCCTCTCTCTTCCCCTCTTTCTTCTTCTTCTTCTTCTTCTTCTTCTTCTTCTTCTTCTTCTTCTTCTTCTTCTTCTTCTTCTTCTTCTTCTTCTTCTTCTTCTTCTTCTTCTGCTGTTAGAGCCGTCCCTGCATTCTCCATTACAAGATGGCGCCTGCATCCGGCAGGCACTGAATGTAAACAAGATTATTGCGCAGGCGCTGGGTAATTTTCCATTCCTTGATCTCTGCCTATTCCGTGGCGTCATATGGCCTGATGAGCTGCAGCCAATCATAGGGTGACACGTCCCAGGCGGCG